GGGATTTTTGAAGACCTCTGCGGGTCTCTGGTGATCCCCAAGGATTTTTGACGATCCCTCATGGATCCTGGAGAATTGGTGACGGATACCGGAGGATTCCAGAGGGTTCCTCCTGAAGGTTCTTATGATTTCTTGAGGACCCCCCCATTGATCGTTGAGGGTTCCTCGGGATTCCTACGGTTTCCTAAGGTTCCTGGAAGATTCCGAAGGACGCCTCTTGATTTTTTCAGGATTCCTAAAGATTCCGGATAAATCCCCGGGATTCCTGAGGATCCCCGAGGATCATTCCGGATTTTTGGGGATCCTTGAAGGAGTCTTGAGAATGCTTGAAGATTCCTCTGGGTTCCGGAGGACTCCTGAGGATTCCTATGGTTTCTTGCGGTTCCCTTTCCTTGAGAGTTCCTTCGGATCCCTGAGGGTTGAATCTTTAGGATCCCTCAGAATCCTTGTGGATCCTTGTAAGTCGTGGGGATCCTAGCGGATCCCATATGATCCCTGGGGAGCTGAGGGTCCGTGAGGATTCGTAAGGATTCCTGCGGATCCCTGAAGACCCCCGAGGATCCCACAGGATTTCTGAGGGTTCGTAAGGATAAGGGGATTCTGGAGGACCCCCGAGGATCCCCGTCGATCCCGAAGTGTTCGTACGGATTCCAAACGATTTGCAAGGATTCTTTCGGATTCTTGCGGATCCCTGAAGATGGCTGAGGATCCTGAGAATTCCTCCGGGTTCCCAGTCCTTTCGTGCAGATCCCCAAAAGGGTTCTTGAAGATCCCAAAAGGACTCCTCAAGAGTCCCCACGATCTTTGAGGATTCGTGGAGATTCCGGGGGGGTCCTAAAAAGTTCTTGGGCTTGCTAGAAGATGCTGGGACATTCTTTAAGGCTCCGGAGGGTTTTTCACTTGTGTATATATACATAAAATTACGAGGGAATCCCACATATTCGTGGGGATCCCCAGACATTCTGTGGAATCCGTAAGAATTCCTTGGGATTCCTCAGGTCTCCTGTCAAGGAGCATATTAGAAACTGGCATGTAATGCCTTAGAAGCCGCCAAGGAGCGCCAGAGAAAATGCTTACGAGCGCCGTAGAAGTTGCCAAGGATAGCCTTAGAAACTGGCAAGGAGCTTCTGGCAAGGTTTTAAAGTTCCCTACGCTTCAGCATCTTCAGAACCTACATCCAGGGAGTTGGCTAGTTCACCGGGGAATGGGCTAGCTTACCGGGGAACGGATTTTTCCGTGTTGCGAGAGAGGGGTGAGGGGAGATGGGTGGAGGAGGGAATTGGGGGACTTGGGAGAGGAGGGTCTTTGGGCAGGGAGCGGAAAAGGGAGTGCAACCTCCTTTTTCTTTTTTTGTGCCTTCCTTGCTTCCTTTTTCTCCTTGCTCCCTCCTCCCTCCTTCCTTTTATCCGTGATCCTCTTCATCGCTCTTCCTGCTGCAGGTCTCCAGACAGAGAAGTTTTCGCAAAGACGTCCTGAAACCGCGATCCCCATCCCCCGTCCTCCTCTTTCCTCCTTTTCCTCTTCCTTCCTCCTCCCCAAACCCCCTCGCGTGGTGAAAAAGTCACGAAGGAAGGTTTTTAGCAGCTTTTGGCCTCCGGATGTCCTTGTTTGGTCTTGGGGCCGTAAGAACGGTTTGGGACAAAATTGCGGCCCCAGGGAAGGGATTTAGAATTTCTTAGGGTTTCAGCAGATCACGGCGTCGGGGGTTAGGGTCGCTCTCAGGGCCCAAGTCGATCCGAGCGATCCGATTTGACATGGATTCAAGCTAGCTCGTTCCGACTGGATGTTTATTTAATCGTTTTCGCAAAGTTCGCCAGCCCAAATTTTTCACGGCGCCAACATCGCAGAGCGGATGTCGTTCGGGAAAAAGTGGGATGGGCCCAGATTGTCATGGAAGATCTCGTTCCGGATTTCGAAGTGAACTTTGTGAGAATTTGTTGGGTCAGGAATGAAGACTACAACACATCCACGTGAAACTCATTTCGTTTTTCGCTTGCCGTTTCGGGATTTTGTGGTGACAGGAATCTATCAATCAATCAATGCTCTGAGGGGCAGTGTTCCACAAGTCAGCACCTGAAAAAAAAGGTGTGTTGGTCACTCTGACCAGCACTCCTCACCTGGGTTAAAGTTTGCTGGCTTTCTAACCTTACCCTGAGGGCCTACGTTTAGGAATCAGCCGCATATGCTGGGGGGGAACCCACAGGCAGTCTGCAGCGCCCTGTGGTGGGGGACTTAGGGGCTGCCCTGCACCACGAGGGCAATAAGGAGCCTCTGAACGTTGAAAAAAACTCGGGGAACGGCGATTTCAGCAGTCCTTGGCTTCCGAGGGCGAGGCCAATCCCCCTCTCCACCACCCCCCCGCCTCCAGTCGGGTGGAGCCCGAAGGCAAGACCCGAAGGTCGACCACCTGGCAGGTGCGAGGAGGCGTGGATAGGGCATTGGCCCCACAAGGGGGAGAGAGAGGGGGAGGACTCCATCCAATCACTCTGAAAGCTGTTCCAGCGATGCGGGGCAGCGGGCACGCGCAGCGTACTCAGTAGGCGTTCGAGATGACTGGGAACGAGTTAGTGTCATCTGTGTCGTCAGCCTCCTTCAGCGTGTCACTGACGCTCATCCTGTAAGACTGGACCCACATCCATATCTCCCAAGAAGGTCATGCTGAAGGCTCGCCATCCCCTGTAGTGAATTGGTCCTCTCAACTCAAGTGTCGAGAGCAAAAAAAATGTGTTTCGTACGACGTCGTACTGGAGCGATTGTCATAGATCCCATGGCCTGGCTCAGCGCTGTCTGTAGCGGTACAGCGCCTCTTTGCACCAGTTCCAGGAGCCTGGTCGAGTGTCTGGCAATGATATTCTGCTGGCTGGGGTGCTTCTCAAGAGCGACGTCGCGGTATGTTTGTGATATCCTGAATGTCTCGTTGGGGGCCTCTTGGGGCTTCTGGTGGTCCTCTTGATGATAATAGGATGGGAATCATGATGGTGATGATGATGATGGTGGTGATGGTGATGATGATGATGCTCATGATGATGATGCTGATGCTGATGCTGCTGATGATGATGAGGATGCTGATGATGCTGCTGCTTATGATGATGGTGATGATGCTGATGATGAGGAGGAGGAGGGTGATAATGATGCTGATTAGTATGATGATGCTGATGATGATGCTGATGCTGATGCTGCTGCTGATGATGATGATGATGATGATGATGATGACGATGATGATGATGATGATGATGATGATGATGATGATGATGATGATGATGATGATGATGATGATGATGATGATGATGATGATGATGATGATGATGATGATGATGATGATGATGATGATGATGATGATGATGATGATGATGATGACGGGGAGGAGTGATGAGTAGGAAGAGAAGGAGGATGAGGAGCAGAAGATGACGGACGACTTTCGATGACTGCTTAGGCAGCGTCTCGAGCGCTTCTGATGGCAGCCTCGGTTCGAGGATGGCGCTGCTCCACATTGCATCGGTGCTTCTATGTGTTGGCGTGCTCATGGCGAGCGCGAAGGAGGATGAGGAGGATGAGGAGGAGGAGGAGGAGGAGGAGGAGGAGGAGGAGGAGGAGGAGGAGGAGGAGGAGGGAGGAGGAGGAGGAGGAGGAGGAGGGGGAGGGGGAGGAGAGGAGGAGGAGGAGGAGGAGGAGGAGGAGGAGGAGGAGGAGGGAGGAGGAGGAGGCGGAGGATGAGGAGGAGGAGGAGGAGGGGGAGGAGGAGGAGGAGGAGGAGGAGGAGGAGGGGGAGGAAGAGGATGAGGATGAGGATGAGGAGGAGGAGGAAGAAGAGGATGATGAGGAGGAGGAAGAGGTGAGGATTAGGATGAGGATGAGGCCTCTCGGTTGCTGTCTTGATAACTTGTTCTAGCGCTACTCGTTCGAGGATTGTGGCCTCTTCGGCCATCTCGGAGGCCTCTGGGCCTGTCTTGGGGCCCTCTGGGGCCGTTTGGGGCGCTTTTGGAGGCCTCTTGGGCCGTGTCGGGGGATCTTGGAAGCTTCTTGGGCCGTCTTGGAGCGCCGGTAAGCCGAAAAGGTGCGAACGCCAAAAACCTTCAAAACACAATGGAAAACCACGAATTTCTGCCTCTGTGGGCCCTCTTGGGAGGTCTCTTGGAGGCCTCTTGGGGCGTCTTGAAGGCGCTTTAGGCTGGCGTCTTGGATCGCTCTTGGACCGTCTCGGACCATGTTGAGCTCTCTTGGAGGCCACTTGAAGCGCTCCTGGAGCGTTCTTGGGAGCCTGCTGGGACCTGGCCAGGACCTCGCTGGGACCTGACCAGGACCTCGCCATGATGCTGATGATGATGGCGTTGATGATTTTGCTGATGATGATGATCATGATCATTTTGATGATGAGTATGCTGATGTTGACGATGCTCATGATGATGGTGATGATAATGAACATGATGATGCTGATGATGATTCTGATGATGGTGATGATCATGGTCATGGTAAGGTTGCTGATGATGATGTTGATGCTGCTGCTGATGATGATGCTGCTGATGATGATGACGATGATGATGGTGGTAGTGGTGGTGGTCTTGGTGATGAAGCTGATGATGATGATGCTGATGATGATGATGATGATAATGATGATGATGATGATGATGATGATGATGATGATGATGATGCTGATGATGATGATGATGATGATGATGATGATGATGATGCTGATGCTGATGCTGATGCTGATGCTGATGCTGATGATGATGATGATGATGATGATGATGATGATGATGATGATGATGCTGATGATGCTGATGATGCTGATACTGCTGCTGCTGGTGATGATGACGACGATGCTGATGATGATTATGCTGATGATTATGAGGATGAGGATGAGGAGGAGGAGGAGGAGGAGGAGGAGGAGGAGGAGGAGGAGGAGGAGGAAGAGGAGCAAAAGGCCAAGGATGAGGAGGAGGAGGAGGAGGAGGAGGAGGAGGAGATAGTCGGTCGTCGTCTCAACTTGCCCCTGTCTGAAGGTCAACCGCATTCTCTATGTGCGGAACCTGCCGTACAAGGCCCGAAACCGCCTCCCCGCGGGTGTGGGAGCCTGCTGGACGATCCTTCCCTCGTCCTTCCCACACCTCTGCTTCTTCAATTACTCAATATGAATACTACTCTCCCTCTTCCCCTGATGACGGCCTGGGAGTGTCCGACCCCCCCCGCGTACTGTTTTTTACACAGGTTTCCCCGGAGTTGGGTTTTCGCCTCATTTTTTTCCAAAATGCTGCTCTCGCTGAGGCGCCGGCCTCATTTTCGGGCCCCGCTCGTTCCGAATCGTGCTCCCGCTGCAGCGCTGGCCTCATTTCCGTGCTTCCGCTCGTTCCGAATCGTGCTCCCGCTGCAGCGCTGGCCTCATTTCCGCGCTTCCGCTCGTTTCGACTCGTGCTTCCGCTGCAGCGCTGGCGTCATTTCCCGTGCCATGCCACGGCGTGCAATGCAATGCTAGGTTGAAACTGCGCTTTGCGGTGCTCTTCTGCGCCATGCCATGCCGTGCTCTACAATGCATCGCGTACCCTTTCGGGATCATTGCCCTGCTCGACATCCGACTGTGCGAGTAGAGAGGGGATCTGCGCCATGGTAATGGATGGGAGGGAGGGGTAGGATGGCAGACATGACGCGAGCGCACCTAGCTTGTCTGCTCCCCCTCTCCTCCTTCCCCTCCTCCTCCCTCCTCCCCCCTTCCTTCCTCTCCCTCCGCTCCTGCAGGTCCTGCATTGCAGGAGTCAGTCATGTGCGGTGCGAGCGTCGAGCTCAAAGAAATCCTCCCTTTCCCTCCTGCGGGGCGGGATGCGCGCCCGCAGTGGCCCCTGCTGGCCAGCCTGCCCCGGCTCACCCTGGACCCCCCGCCCTCTTGAGTGGTCCCTCGTGGTCCCTCATGGAAAAGCCTGAGAAGGTCCCAAAATGCCTTGCGGTGTTTGGGTGCTCTCGTCCGGGTTTCGTCAGATTTGGTCGACATCTGGACGAGATTTGCAGGACACTCGGACGAGCTCTGGACGAAAGAGCGGAGGGGCGTGGTCGAACTCTGGGCGACACCCGGTCGAAACCACGCTTTTTGCAGGGCCGCGGAGGTCCGCAGAGGCTGCCATGAAGGCTCACTCTGGACCCCCGATCTGGATTCCGATTTATCGATTCGATTCTGGGCTCTCCTGCCCCCCCTTCTCCCGACGATTCTGACGACCGCCAGCACTCGCAGCTGCCGCCGCCGCCCGTCGTCGCGCCGCCGCCGTGGTCTCCGGGGCCACGCCGCGGGCGGCCGCTCTGCGCCGGGGCCCGCCCGCGGGTGCCTGCTCGCGCCTGCCCCGGGAGGAGGAGGAGGCGGAGGAGGAGGCGGCGGAGGAGGGAGGAGGCGGCGGCGGAGGAGGAGGATGAAAAGGAGGAGGAGGGGGAGGAGGAAGAGGAGGAGGAGGCGGAAGAGGAGGAGGAGGAGGAGGCGGAGGAGGAGGAGGAGAAGGAAGAGGAGGAAACCGTCGGCCCTTCCTTTTCTGCGTTGCCGCGCCATCCCATGGAGGTCGCCCTATCGGCATCGGCTAGGGCGTCGAAGTTTCTGGCGCTGACCAGGCCTAGGGCCGCCCCCGAGTACCCCCCCGGCGAGGACGCGGCCGCCGTCGGCGCGTTCGACCGCGCCCGCGCCCTCGAGGAGGATGCGTCGTGGGGCGGCGGGGCCGCCGCCGCGAGTGCAGATGGCGCCAATGTGGAGGGCCGCCGGCAGGAGGCGAACCTGCTGCTGGGGCCCGATGCCCGTTGTGCTCGGCGTCTCGCGCAGGCCACGTTTGACCCCCCGCGGCCCTCGGGCAAGCTCGCCGCGTCGCCCCCTCGCCCCGTGCAGGGTGGGCGTTGGCCCCGCGGGCGCGCGGCTGCAGAGCGTCGCCGCTTCCGCTTTGCCGCGAGAGGTCCTTGGCAGAAATGCGCGCGCCGCGGTCGCCCCGCCCGGGCGCGCCTGCGGGGCGCCCGTCGAGGCCGCCGGCGCGGGCGGCGCCGCCGCCTCCACGTCGTCGCGAGGCTTGTCTGTGGCAGGATGCCCGCGCCGCGGTCGGCGCGGCCAGGCTGGCTGCGACGAGCGCGTCGCTGGCAGCCGCGTCTGCTCCTTCAGTGGGGGCTGCAGGTCGGCGCGCGCCCCCGCGGGTGGCCTCAACCCGTGCATTCGCCGGAGGACTGGAGGCGCCGTGCGCGCGCGAACGGGGCGTTCTACTGGCGTGCGGCGGGAAGCCGACGTGGACTGGGACTGGCAGCAGGGCGCAGCCAGCGACGCTTTGCCTCGAGTCGCCGCGAGTCCTCGGCCTGAGCCCGGCGCGGCCGCGCGCTTACAACCATGCGGCGACAGGTGCGGCCAGGCGTCTCCCTTGGGTGGGACTGGATCATGGGCGCGTTGCGTGCTCGGGCGCCCTGAGGACTACCCGAAGACCTTCGCCCTTGGCTTGGAGACTGCTTCCTTTCGTGCTCGTCGCAAGGCTTTCCAGGATTGGGCCGCCGGTTGCGAGGAGGGCAGGATCAAGCCGCTCCCCGATATCACCTAGCCCCAAGCAAGCTCCCCGCGCGCGCAGGTGAAGCGCCGCGGGGAGGTGGCGACTGCGGCCCGGCACCATCGCTGACGACCAGGTGGACTCCTGGTCACGCGTCCGGCAGGCTGGCGAGGCTGCTGCCAAGCCCCCGCTGGATCAGGTGGAGTTGCGACGACAGGGAGATGATGGCGATGATCAGTGCAGTGTCCAGCACCTGCTTGGCGACCGTGGCGACGCCGACGCGGCCTTGCGCAGCTCCCCCAGGACTGGCCTGCCTGCCCCATGCACTGGGGAGGTCAGAATGGCGGCCAAGAGATTCACGTGGCATACTGGGCAGGATGCCGACAAGCTTTCGCCTTGAGCTATAGGCCTGCTCAGCGATGACCCCGCCGCTGCTCGTCTACATCGCGCCGTTGGCTGAGAACTAGGGGCGGTGGCCTGCGCGGTCCATGGCGGCGCGCATTGCGTTGCTAGTGGCCAAGGCCGCGGGGGGTTGGGGGCCCATTTCGCTCCTTCAGGCCACCTGCCGTGCGTGCTCTCAGGTGCATGGGCGGCAGCTGCGGAGTTGGTTGCTCGATTGCTAGAGGCCCCGCTTCGCCCTCGCCGCATGCAAGACAACTTTGAGCGCGGAGTCTCGCGTCCTGCTCCTTGCGAGTGCGGTCGTGCCATCTGTCCTTCCCGCGGCGGGTGTTGGCTTGTGCGCCGGCCATGTGCATCGGGCGCCGCGGGAGTTGGCGCGCTTCCAGGCCACCTCTTGTGCCGTGGTCGCGGGCCAAGGGGCGCTGCCTGGATGCAAGTTCGCAGTGGCTCTAGTACAGCTCCTCGCGATCGCACCCGTGGCTGCGTTCGTTCGTTGCTCAAGCGTTGGCCGTCGCACGGTCCGTGGACATATTCGCTGGCGACCTGGCGTTGCAGGCCGCCGCCCCGATCCAAGGTGTCTGGCAGGTTTCGGCGGGCGCGATCAAGCTTGGTCGTCGCCGAGCCCACGGCCAAACTCGCGTTCTCTGACGGGTCGACGGCGCCAGGGTGGCTGTCCGATTCCATCGCTGCGGCTTTCGTGCGCAGACCTGGCTGGAGGTGTTGGGGCAAGAAGTGGCCGCCTGCAGGGCTGTTGTGCACGAGGTCAGTTGGCGGCGAGTGAAGGTCGCGCGCGGGCGCACCCAGCACCTCGAACGTCTGGCTGCCCTGGGCGCGAAGTACAAGAGTGCGGCGCGTGTTGTGATCGGGCCAGCCGCCGCCTGCGGCGCGGGCGCCATGGTCACGGCGCCGCACTTGCCCGCTCGCATGGCCGCGCCAGCCAAGCAAGTCCCAGCGTGATCGTGGGCGCGGGCAGCGTCCTGCGTGTCTTGCAGTCGTCGGTGCGATCTTCTTCTTGTCCTGCGCGGTCCACGCGCAAGAACGCGCGAGAGATGTCGCGCGAGGTCATGTTGCAGGCGTGGGCAGTATCGCAAGGTCTCAGCTGTGCTGTGGATGCAACTGTGAACTGGGGGCTCGTCGCTGTCCAGCTGGTGCCCTTGTCAGATCCATGTAACACCTTGGTTGGACCTATTCGTCGGCCTTCACGGTGCGCGCTCGTCTTGGAGAGGTCTTCGACCTGCGGGCCGCGGCGCCATCGGTGGCCAAGTGGACCTACCTGCCAGACAACGCAGCAGTTGGGTGGGAATCTCGGGCGCGGCGACCTGCGGTTGCACCTGGGATCCCTGGGCCATCGCGCGAAGATCCCGTTGGAGTTTGGACTGAACCTGTTCGAGCTCCATTGAATCTCGGCAAGAAGGTCAAGCGGTGGGTGCTGGTGCCGCGCGCGCGGGCTGCTCTCAGATCGGTGGCCATTGGTGCTCGCTGCTCGCAGCTGCGACGTCACCGACGTTTACATACTGGCAGCCGTGACTGCCTGCGATTTTCTGGCGCCCCTGGCTCGCTCTACCATCGACGCTGGGAGCTCTTCGGTCCGATGGCCTTCGAGCGCGCGCAGTGGGCGCCGACGTGGGCGACGGCCCCCGGGGATTTAACGCGCACTTTCCTCCGGCGGCCTGCGCGCGAAGTTGCCGCGCAGGGGGGCCGCTGCCGGCGCGGGCCGGGGCTGCGCGTTCATCGACGGCGGCCGCGCCAAATCGCTTGCGGCCAGAACTTGTCGCTTGGCGCGTCGCGGCGGCGCCCGCTGCACCGCGGCGCGCCCTGCGCGTGGATATCGCGTCGCTCCGCTCCGCGAAGCTGGAGGCTCGGCAAGGCGTGGGGCGCTGGCGCCCGGGAGTTGGGACGTCGATGGCGCGTCGCGCCGCGTTCGGGCCCGTGCCTGGGCGGGGCTGAGCTGTTCCCGCCGTTGCAGATACTTGGGGCTGGCGTTGCGCCCCTGCGCGTAATTATGCGCGGACTTCCCCCCCCACTCGTTGGGGAATTCCAGAGACGCAGAATCTGGTGCACGCATCCTCGTCGCGGCAACGTTGATATGCGGGAGTAGTTGTGGCGCTTCATCGACGAGCGCGGAGGCGCCCTGTCCGATAGAGGGACAGAGCCGCCCATTTCTTTCACGTGCGTCAAGGGTCACCAGCGAGATGTCCTGGGAGAACATGGGCAATGATGGGGCTGACGTGGCGGCCGCCCGCCTAGAGGTTGGCGCCGACGCCAACGTCGGCGTGCGTCCGCCGAATGAAGATGATCCCGATCTCGACGATGGTGGTAGTATTCGGTCTGTCTAGGTGACCGAAAGAATACCACCGACACCCGACGCCATCATGTAGGACCATCTTCTTCCCGTGGAGGCAACCCCTGTGCGTGCTGGTGTTGGTGTCCATTTCCAAGCCGCCAAAATGGTTGCATACCGGAGTTCAATGCACGGGGGTCAGTGCCAAGGGGGGTCAGCCAGAGCGCTGGCTCTTGCATGATCCTGCAGGGCTAGGGGTGCATCGACCCGGGCTTGCGTGCAGGATCTTGCAGGATCCAGCGGGATTTTGCATGGTCCTGCAACAGCCGACTGGCCCAGGTTTGGATTGCGTTTGAGAAACAATTCGATTCGTGAAGTTGGCCGCGCGTCCTTCAGTATCCCACCTTGTCACTATGCCTGCCACTCGTGGGATTTGGCCGGCTCGGGAACTGCGGGCCCTGAGGGCCTTCCCTGGGGTCAGTCTTCAGGCCCGCCAGTGCGGCAAAGTCTGTGAGTTTTGAAAGAAAACGCAAGGTTTTGTTTTTGAGCTGGCTCCGGTGCCGCCCGATTTGTGGCATGGTTTCCGCTTCGTGGTCCAGACACAAAGCTCCTGACGGGCAAATGTAATTCTGACAAGTTTCGTGCTGATTTTGCGCAGCGTTTTCCCCTCCATTTGTGTGTTCTCTTGGCCTCTTGTGTGGCCGCCGCCGTCTCAGAGTACAGAGGCTGCGCGGGCGAAGACATGTACGTAAGGAAGTGTTTTGCGTTCGCCGCCAAATAGTTCGACGAACCTTTTATATCTGGCAGACGTGCGTTTCTCAAATCCAAAGGATTGGTGTGGCATTCCATAAAGAATAAGTCGTAGCTCGTCCTCATTATCCTGTTCACCCTCCTCTTCGTCTTCATCGTGCTTCCCGTCCGCCTCCACGGGCCGCCACCGTCGCCGCCGCCGCCGCCTCCCCAACTCGCTCAGATCAGCGCGGACGAGCTCTACGACATCTTCGGGAAGTACGGATCCATCCGTCAGATCCGGCGCGGCAATGGCCCTGAGACGAGGGGTGCCCCATCAGCGCCGCGGGGCAGGATGAAGAGGGGGCAGGGGAACACGATGAGGAGGTCATGCGCATATGGGTTCTTGTAGACGATGGGGATGATGGGGGTCATGTTGACGATGGGGATGGTCGTGGTGGCGATGATGATGGTGGTGATGAAGATGATGACGGGTAACTTGCTTGGTGGGGATGGTGATTGCAGTTCTGATGATGATGGTGATGATGCCGATGCTGCTGCTGATGCTGCTGCTGCGGCTACTGATGCTGATGATTGTGGTGGGTATTTTGGTGTTTTTGATGATGATGGATGTGGATGACGGTGATGATGATTGTGGTTATGATGATGGTGATGATGCAGAATATGATGATGTTGATGATGATGATGGTCTTGATGATGCTGACGATGGTGATTCTGAATATGATTATGGTAATGTGGATGATGATGATGCTGATGATGATGATGATGATGATGTAGATGATGATGATGATGATGATGATGATGATGATGATGATGATGATGATGATGATGATGCTGATCATGATGGTGATGCTGAGGTAGATGATGATCATGATGATGATGCTGCTGATGATGATGATGATGATGATGATCATGATGATCATGATGCTGATGATGATGACGATAACGGTGGTGGTGGTGATGAGGATGGTAACGATTATTATGGTGACCACGATGATGCTGCTGATGATGATGATGATGCTGATGATGCTGATGATGCTGCTAATAATGATCATGATGATGATGATGATGCTGATCATGATGGTGATGCTGAGGTAGATGATGATGATGATGACGATGCTGATGATGATGATGATGATGATGATGATGATGATGATGATGATGATGATGATCATGATGATCATGATGCTGATGATAATGAAGATAACGGTGGTGGTGGTGATGAGGATGGTAACGATTATTATGGTGACCACGATGATGCTGCTGATGATGATGATGCTGATGATGCTGATGATGCTGCTAATAATGATCATGGTGATGATGATGGTGATGCTGATGATGATGATGACGATGACGATGACGATGACGATGATGATGATGATGATGATGATGATGATGATGCTGATGATGATAATGGAGAGGATAATGATGGTGGTGATGGTGACGATGATGGTGATGATGCTGAGGGTAGTGGTGGTGATGATGATCATCATGATGCTGATGCTGATGATAGTAGTGGTGATGATGCTGATGATACTGGTGGTGATGATGCTGCTGCTGATGCTGATGATGATGCTGATGATGATGGTGATGATGATGATGATGATGATGATGATGATGATGATGATGATGATGATGATGATGATGATGATGATGATGACGATGATGATGATGATGATGATGATGATGATGATGATGATGATGATGATGATGATGATGACGATGATGATGGTGATGCTGATGATGCTGATGATGATGAGGATGATGATGATGATGATGATGATGGTGGTGGTGGTGGTCATGATGATGATGGTGGTGGTGGTGGTGGTGGCGCTGATCATGACGATGATGATGCTGATGATGATAATGATGATGCTGATGATGATTTTGATTATGATTACGATGATGCTGATGCTGATGATGATGATGATGATGATGATGATGATGATGATGATGATGATGATGCTGATGCTGATGCTGATGCTGATGCTGATGCTGATGATTATGATGATGAGGAGTTGGAGGAGGAGGAGGAGGAGGAGGAGGAGGAGACGACCACGACGACGTCAACGAGGGCGAGGACGAGTCAGGAAGAGGACAGGCAGCCATGAACGCGTGGGAGAAAACAGGTTTGCACTGCAAGCCGGGCTGTCTGGAAGCTGGCGCCTGCCGAACGCCAGAGGTGCAGATCGAGTCTCGAGGCCGACCTCGTCGTACCGCCTTCTCGCGTCGCCCACCCTCCCAGCCGCCCCGGAGGTACTTCGTTCGTCGTATACGACGACATCTACGACGCCAAGACTGAGGGGGGAAGAGGGGAGAAGGAGTAGAAGGACAGGAGACGACATCTGCGAAGACATTGACGACGATATGAGGAGAAGGAGAGGCCGATCGTCGGTTGCCGTTGTGAGATTGTCGATCCACGATCGTCGTCCCTGGCTGCATTTCCCAACCATCCTGTGCTGGGTTTTTGTTTTGAACAGCACACTGCGGTCCCTCCTCCTCCTCCTCCTCTCCGTCCTTTTCCTCCTGCTCCTCCCCCTCCTCCACCTTCTCCTTCTGCATCCTCCTGCATCCAGTGCGCTTTCTCGGGGGCGGCGAACTGCGCGACTGCCGCCACTTTCGTGAGTTCCTGGGTGGCACGGCGGAGTGCAGGGCAACGCAGAGTACTTGAGACCTCGCGGCTCCATCGAGGGGTGCGAGCTGCGCACCCGTCGCCACTCTTCGTGGGCTCCTGGGAGGCACGGCGGAGCACAGGGCGCCCACCCTCGTGGCGCGTGCTCACATGGTGCGTGGCGCCGTCCCTTCCTTGAACGCGCGGCGCTGTTGCCGGGGGTCACGTAGCGAAATGCGCTGTCATCAGTCGCCCACTTCCTCCCCCCTCCTTAGGTGCCGGTCGCCCGCAGCAGCAGCAGGGGTGAGCCGAGCAGGTGCAGCGCCTGGCGCTGTTCCGCCCACCAGTCGGAGGTGGGGGGGGGGTGAGATCGCTGCGGAGCGGACAGCTCCCCCAACAGAAGCTCGGTTTCGGTTTCGTGTTCGTGTCGTGCGTGCGGGCGAGGCGAAGCTGCGTGGGCGCGCGAAAGGAATGACCCCGCCGTCGCTAGGGCGATTCGGATGCAGTGGGCCGCCCCCCCGCCCCCGGTGGACGCGCGGTGGCCCGGGGTGTCCCGCAATGGCGTCCTATGGTGTCCTGGTGGTGTCCTGTTGATGTCCCGTCGGTGTTCAGTGAAGTCGATCGAGGCATTGATAATGAGATCACTAGAATGGGACGGATAGTGGGATCAAAAATGAACCGACAGTGAGGTTGATTGTGACATTGGTTGTGTTCGCGCTGTCGGATGCGCAGGGAGGCACGCTTCGTGGCCCCATGGGTGGTTCCACCAGACGCCCCAGCAAAAAGGTCCGCATGCCGTACCCGCGCCCGATTCGGCACACGAATCACACGCGTCGTGGCCCCATAGGGATCTCGAGCGAATGCCCCAACAGCAGGGTCCGCGTGGCGTACCCACACCCGATTCGGCACACCCCTCACGCTTCGTGGCTCCATGGGTGGCCCCACCGACGGCCCCAACGACAGGGTCCGCGTGGCGCATCCGCGCGCAAGTCGGCGCATCGCTCGCACGCTTCATGGCCCCACGTGGGACTCCACAGGCCCCCGCAGCAGGGCCCACAGGGCGCACCCGCATTCGATTCGGCACACCTCTCACACGCCTCGGGGCCCCACGGGGAGCTCCACCGCAGGGCCCCCACGGCAGGGCTCGCACGGCGCAGCCGCGCCCGATGCGGCGCACTCCTTGCGCGTCTCGTGGCCCCGCATCGAGCCCCACGGAAGGCCCCCGCGGCAGAGTCCGCGGCGCGGGGCGAGGCGCCAGACACAGCGCGTGGGAGCCGGCGCAGGGGAGTCCCCGCCGCGCGCGCCGGTCGCCCGCAGGGGATTCCAGCGACCCGCGCGGGCCGTCCGCGGCGCGAGGCCATAGCGTTGGGCAGTCGAGAGAGGGCGAGACTCGGGCGGGCAGTTCCTCGGGCCAGGCCTCGCGCGTAGACCGGGTGAGGCCCCGCTCCTTGGCGAGGCCGTCGCCAGACCAACAGACTCCGCTCGCCCATGTCCGCTGCTGTACCCGCCCACGCCCCAATCTTCTTGCCAGACCCCCTCCTTGATTTCATCGGCCTCGTGATGCTCGCAGCTGCAAGTGGTCCATATGGTTGGGTCCTTCGCCAGGATCTTTGTTCAAGTGTGTGTGTGAGAGAGAGAGAGAGAGAGAGAAAGAGAGAGCGCTTGTGGGGGGTGACGCGCTTAGTGCCCTTATTGGCGCGTTTTGACCAGGGGTGTTTGGCCCATCGGCCATTCTAATTCTGTATATATATATATATGAGTATATCGATATCCGTATCTCGTGCTTCGACTTACTCCGCTTCGCCGCTGCGCGCGAGGCCGCTACCGCCAAACAAGTGCGCGTGTGTGTGTGTGTGTGTGCGTGTGTGTCTGTGTGTGTCTGTGTGTGTGTGTGTGTGTGTGTGTGTGTGTGTGTGTGTGAGCGTGTGTGTGTGTGTGTGTGTGTGTGTGTGTGTGTGTGTGTGTGTGTGTGTGTGCGTGCGTGCCTGCGTGCGTGCCTGCGTGCGTGCGTGCGTGCGTGCGTGCGTGTGTGTGTGTGTGTTCATGTGTGCGTGCGTGCGCGCGCATGCGTATGTGTTTGTGTGTGTGTGTTTGTGAGTGTGCTTCGCCGCCGCGTTTGGATTCGATTTGGGAACCTGGTTGGGAAGCGCCTTCGGGGAGGTCCAGCTGGAACATGTATGTTTTTCCCAACCATCCAGTGGTGTTGGGTTTTCGTTTTGAAGAGACGGTCCCCGCGTTCACTCCCCTCCTCCCGCTGCCCCTTCTTCTCTCTATCGTCTCTATCATCATCACCATCATCATCATCATCCGCATCACCATCACCATCACCATCACCACCACCACCACCATCATCATCATCATCATCATCATCATCATCATCATCATCATCATCATCATCATCATCATCACCATCATCATCATCATCATCATCGTCATCGTCATCGTCATCATCATCATCATCAGCATCATCAGCATCATCATCATCGCCAGTTCAGCACACCCCTCACACGTTTCGTGACTCCATCGGGTGCCCCGCCGAGGGCCCAAATTCCAGCTTTCGCATGCGGTCACCGCGCCCCTGTTGGCACATCCCTCACACGCTTCGTGGCCCCATAGGGAGTTCCACCGAAGGCCCAAATGCCAACGTTCGCATGCGGTCACCGCACCCATTCTGGCACACCCCTCACACGTATCGTGGCCCCATATGGAACCCCACTGAAGGCCCACATGCCATCGTTCGCATGTTGTCACCGCGCCCATTTCCGAACACCCTTCGCACGTTTCGTGGCCCCATGGGGAGCCCCACCGAAGACCCACATGCCAGCGTTCGCATGCGGTCACCGCACCCATTTTGGCACACCCCTCACACGTTCCGTGGCCCCATAGGAACCTCACCGAAGGCCCACATGCCAGCGTTCGCATGCGGCCACCGCACCCATGTTGGCACACCCCTCACACGTTTCGTGGCCCCATCGGGAGCCCCACCGCAGGCCCACATGCCAGCGTTCGCATGCGGTCACCGCACCCATGTTGGCACACCCCTCACGCGATTCGTGGCCCCATAGGGAGCCTCACCGAACGCCCACATGCCAGCGTTCGCATGCTGTCACCGCGCCCATTTTGGCACACCACTCACACGTTTCGTGGCCCCATATGGAACCCCACCGAAGGCCCACATGCCAGCGTTCACGTGCGGTCACCGCACCCATTTTGGCACACCCCTCACATGTTTCGTGGCCCCAATATGGGGCCCCACCGAAGGCCCAAATGCCAGCGTTCGCATGCGGTCACCGCACCCATTTTGGCACACCCCTCACACGTTCCGTGGCCCCATAGGCAGCCTCACCGAACGCCCACATGCCAGCGTTCGCATGCGGTCACCGCACCCATTTCCGCAGACCCTTCGCACGTTTCGTGGCCCCATAAGGAGCCCCAAGGAAGGCCCACATGCCAGCGTTCGCATGCCGTCACCGCACCCATGTTGGCCCATCCCTCACACGTTTCGTGGCCCAGTGGGGGGCCCCACCGAAGGCCCACATGCCAGCGTTCGCATGCCGTCACCGCGCCCATTTTTGCACACCCCTGACGCGTGTCGTGGCCCAGTGGGAAGCCCCATCGAAGGCCCCAGTGTATCGCCCGCATGCGTCACACTTTTCACTGCCCCGGTAGTGCGTTCCGCCTAAAGCACCAGTGGCTGCGCCCACATGGCGGCCCCGCCCCACATCGGGACACCCTTCGCATGCTTCATGGCCCCATGAAGAGATCCCCCGAAGGCGATACCCGCAACGACGGTATTCACAACTGCATATGGTTGGGTCCTTCGCCAGGATTATTGCCCCGTGTGCACCACCGACCCTGGACCCAATGAGATCCGACGCAGCGAACAAATATCAACACAATGTAACATCACGGCAAAAACCAGCGTTTGGATGTTTTCGGCCTCCTGTGGGTCCTTCTTCGCGACGACTGGACTCGCCTCGGAAATCTGGTCAGGGTTCGTCCCAGGGCAGAGGTCCCAGGGAACGGCGGCACTCGGCTGATAGATGCCCGCGGTGGCACTGCCCCTCTGTGGAGCAGGTGCTACTGACAAGATCAGGCTGGTCGTCTAGGTTTGGACGGAGGTAGGGGGGGATCGAGAGCCCCCTCACGGTGTGGTGACCTGGTTAGGAAGCGCCTTCGGGGAGGTCAGGCTGGAACATGTGTGTTTTTGCCCCGTGTGCATCACCGACCCTGGACACCATGAGATCCGACGGCGCGAACACTGGGGGGGGATCGGGAACCCCCTGACGGCGTGGTGACCACGCCGTGGGGTGACCTCGGTGGACGTGCGGGGCGGACGAAACGGGGGGACATGGAAAGGGGGGGGTTACGACATCTGCTGCGTGCAGCTGGTTTCGGCCCCGCCGCCGGGCCCCTTCCTCGATACACGTGGCCGGGCGGCGCCGGGAGAGTCCGTCACGGGAGCGGCCCGAGAAGTGCGGGGCGGCCGCTCGGCTCCGGGCCCGAGGCGAGGGTGCCTGGGTTTCTCTCCGGGGCCTCCAAAAGGTCCCGGAGCAGTGCGGGCGGTGGGCTGTGCGGCGCGGTCCTCTTGTCACTGCGAGGTCGCCGCGCGGTCCGTCGCACGAGCCGCCTTGGGACCCCCAGGGGGATGCGCATGCGGTATTTGTGTTGATGGGCCTGTTTTCCACCACCACCATAAGTTGGAGGGGGAGGAGGAGGAGGAGGAGGACGAAGAGGAGGAGGAGGAGGAGGTGGAGGAGGCGGAGGAGGAGGACGAGGACGAGGAGCAGGAGGAGGAGGAGGAGGACCCCCTCCCCCTCCAACGTATGGTGGTGGTGGTGGAAAACGGGCCCATCATGTGTGTGTGTGTGATGTTCAGTCGTCTGTTTGGAGCCTCTGGAAGCCGAGACCTTTGCCTCTTTTTTTTTTTTCCTCCTCCTCCTCCTCCCCCTGCCCCTCCGCCTCCTCCTCCTCCTCGTCCTCGTCGCGACCGTAGCCATTTTGGCTCAAGGGTCAGCACGCCAGAGAATGTATCGGAGGTGCTTAGACCTCCTACCCTGACACGTCGATTAAGGAATTGGCCGTTTTCGGTTCGCGAGAGGGCGTCGCGGCCGTCATTTTTGCGGGTCCAGGTCCGTCGGTTTCGGTCCCAGGCCGTTTTCACTAAGGGGAGGTTTGCTAAAGGGAGGTTTGTCCACCGCCGAATATAATGTTTGAATGTCCTTTCGACTGACCAGAGATGCTGCAGGCGGCAGCAACAATGAGTTCAGCAGCATCTGCAGGTGACTTCGACATCGTGACGCCGATGCTGCAGAGCCGCTGGTGCACCCGCAGCGTGTTTCAAGGGCATAAAAAAAACGCCCCTACCCTGGTTTTCGAGGCGCTGTGCGCTGAAACTCCTGTGGGCTGACAGGGTAAACCCTGCGTGATGTGCCGCGTCCTGGCGGCTCTAGGCTTTGGGGATTCCCAGGAGGTTTCCAGACCACGCACTTGTAACCCAGGGTAGGGTAGTTTTTTCATCCCTCAAGTGTTGGAGGGCTTGCAGAGCCATCACCAGCCACGGCGCATCCGCATCATCACGCCAGCCGCGGAGGTTCCCCTAAGACGAGGAGGTTTCTGGACCAGTGGGGCATCGAGAATGCCATGGTGCACCCCGAGGAGGCGTTCTTTCCAGGGCTGTCCAAGGATGTGATTTGCGCGGAGCTGACTGTCGAGGGTAGCTTGTACGATCCAGGGTGGTTCTACCAGCAGCTGCTGAAGCCAGGTGCCTCGGAGGGCATCCGAGGGCTTAGCGAGTGGTATCTTGTGTGGGACAGCGACATGCTTCCTGTGGAGGCTTGGCTCATCATCTCGCTTGGTCTAGACGGTCCGCGGCGCACAGTGGCTTTATTGCAACATAATGCGTCTGGTAACAGCGAGATGGATCCGGGAGGTGCTCGGCTTGGACGTGCTGTTGGACAGTGACGGTACCTTCGTGCCGCACCCACCACATATGATTTCGGGAGGGTCATTTGCAAGGCTTCCGATCGCAGGTGCAGTCCTTCTTCCGCAGCGAGAAGCACTGGGCTGTCTTGATGATGCGGTCGGCTACTGAGTTCAAGACATTCAGCGAGTATTGGAGCTACGCTTCATGGGTTGCCGCTAGACGTCATGAAGAGCTTTCCTTCCACCCGTGCTCCGAGTACGGGCCAACCAACGAGCGCTTCTTCGAGGATGTTGAGGCTGGCTCCTTTTCCAAGGCTTGCAGGAGGGTATACAGTGGAGGCCAGCCCACAAGAAAAACCTTCCACAAGAAACTCAACCCCGAGACCCCAGGACGCCCACCGATGTCTGGCGCGGGGACGTCACGCTCTCCATCGCAAAACCATCGAAACCCAGGAAACCCAGGGCGCCGTGGAGGCAAGAATAGTGAATCTTGGCACTACACGAAGGGCAGGGTGGACATCCCCACACACGAGCAGCCCCTGACCCTCACAGGTGCTGCCTCTGTGCAGGCTCGCCTCGCGCCCCCCCCCCTCGCCTCGGCCCCGGGCAGAGCGAGCGGCACGCCGCCGCGGAGGCCTCTCTCGAGACCGAGGCACCCCCGGAGGAGCAGCGCTCGCGAGGGAACGGCAGGGCCGACGCGACCTGTGGCACAGCCCCCCCCCCCCCCAGAGGGGAGCGACATCTCGGCTCTGCGATGGTGTCGGCTGCGGCTCCTCCTCCTCCTCGTTGGCCCTCCCTCGGTCCTCACCCCTTCCCGAGCGAAATCTCGGCTCTGCGATGGTGTCGGCTGCGGCTCCTCCTCCTCCTCGTTGGCCCTCCCTCGGTCCTCACCCCTTCCCGAGCGAGATCTCGGCTCTGCGATGGTGTCGGCTGCGGCTCCTCCTCCTCCTCGTTGGCCCTCCTCGGTCCTCACCCCTTCCCGAGCTGATCTCGGCTCTGCGATGGTGTCGGCTGCGGCTCCTCCTCCTCCTCGTTGGCCCTCCTCGGTCCTCACCCCTTCCCGAGCTGATCTCGGCTCTGCGATGGTGTCGGCTGCGGCTCCTCCTCGTCGTCAACCCTCCCTCGGTCCTCACCCGCGATGGTTTCAGCTGCGGCTCCTCCTCCTCGTCGTTCACCCTCCCTCGGTCCTCACCCCTTCCCCAGCTAACCTCGGCTCTGCGATGGTGTCGGCTGCGGCTCCTCCTCCTCGTTGGCCCTCCCTCGGTCCTCACCCCTTCCCGAGCTGATCTCGGCTCTGCGATGGTGTCGGCTGCGGCTCCTCCTCCTCCTCGTTGGCCCTCCTCGGTCCTCACCCCTTCCCGAGCTAATCTCGGCTCTGCGATGGTGTCGGCTGCGGCTCCTCCTCCTCCTCGTTGGCCCTCCCTCGGTCCTCACCCCTTCCCCCCCCCCCTCCTCGGGACAGTGACCCGTGCCGCGCGCGCCCCCCAGGAACGCCATGGACCACCTGAGCGGGTTCAACGTGGCTGGCAGGCCCCGCCCTCCGGCCTCCTCCGTCGCCGCGTGCTGCCGCTCCTCCGCCTTCCTCATCATAAGTGACCTCCTTCCTCTTCCTCATCATAGCCGTTCTGGCCCAAGTTTTTGGGCTTGCAGGAGCTGTCTTCAGAGCGGCAGCCGCTCCTGCGGGTCTTTGTGGCTCGGAATCTACTTTGTGAGCTCCTGCTGGAGCAAGCTTTCCTGAGACGAGCTGTGCTGTGCATGGCTCGACGTGATGAGGCGGATGTACTCCCAGGGCCCCGATCGCCCTTCTGGGGGTGTCCGAGTTGTGGCAGGAACCAGAATTTCGCTTGTCGGATACGGTGTCTCTGCGGGCAGTCAGCCCCGAGGGCGAGTGTGGAGCGCGCGCGCACCGCAGCTGCCGCCCTGGGCTCATCAGCTCGTGCTCCTCCTGGCGTTCCTCCTGGGCAGCCTCGCGGCCCTCGCGGTGCGTGGGCCAAGGGCCCCCCAGCCGATCTGTCGGGCCAGCTGGCAGCAATGGAGAAGCGCATCATGGAGAAGGTCGCAGCCAAGTCTTCCCCTCCCGCGGGTGCCGCGGCCAACGGAGGCGGAGGCGGCGGCTCGGCCCAGGCCGGAGGCGGTGGTGCTGAAGCTCAAGACGCACCGCCTTCGGATGACGACAAGTTACGTGTTAAAGTGCAGCACCTGGAGGAGTCATTGCAAGCTCTTCGCAAGTGTGATGGAGTACCAGCGTCAGCCATCGAGATCGTGGAGAGCGAACTCAAGGTGGCGCGGGCGGAGGTTCAGTCCAAGAAGCCAGTGTTGTCCCGTGCCACCACGTTGGGCCACAAGCTGGCGGATAAGCAGAAGAAGTTCGAGGCTCTCGACAAGTCTATTGCGGAGCAGAATAAGGTCGTGGAGCAGGCCCAGCGGACGCTGGCGGAGCTCAATGAACGACAACGCAGCCTGCGCGTGGACATCGACGCACTCAAGATTGAGCTGCAGGCGGCGATGCAGCAGGTGGCGCCCTCAGCCCCCGAGCAGCAGGTGGAGGTCGACCTGGAGTTGGACCCGACTGTGCTGGAGGGCCCTGAGGCGGAGGGGGTCAAGACGATGCTGGCCTCGCCTGAGTTTGCCAAGTTCAAGGAGCTCTACGCGGCCAAGGCGGCAGCGGCGCGGGACCAGCAGCAGGCCGCGCCTCGGGCCCCTGATGGTGTACATGGTGCGGTACCAGGAGCTGCTCCCGAAGCGGCTGAGGTCAGCGCTGGGGATGACGACGTTGACATGGAGGAGCTCTCCGAGGAGAAGGTGCAGCAGGTCATCGCCGCGGCGCGGAAGGAGGGCTCAGACCACGAGAAGGAGGTCGCTGAGCTGCTCAAGCAGTTCGGCATCAGGGCGAAGAAGCAGCGGTGCGGGTGACGCACTACACAGCTGCCGTGCGCCCCTTTTGTCAGGCATCCCTTTGTCCGCTGCTGGAGTACCTGTGCCACCTCTGCGCGGAGGTCCAAAGGTAGCCAGAGGGGACCCGTTTTTTATTGAGACTTTCAACGGTTCGTGTTGGAAGACGCTTCGGAGAAGGTTACGTGAGACTTCGGCGGTGATTGTGTGTGCCCAGGAGATAGGCATCAGTGTTTCCTTCCTGGGACAAGCTACGGCCTCGGCGCGCTCGCTCGGCTTCCACGCCCTGTTCGGCCCCTCGTTCTTGAACCCAGAGACAGGCAAGGTCTCGTGCGGTGTCGCCGTCTTCGCTCGGCTCAGCATTGGTTTACGATGGCCTCCAGAAGGTCCTGGCCCTGTGGTTCCTGGTCGAGCTATCAAGGTCCTGGTGGATTTCCCTGGGTGGCCCACGGTGACGGTTTTCTCGGTCTATCTGAAGACTTCGGAGGGCCTCAGTGAGGCCAACGTACAGATGATCGCTAAGATAGGTAAGCAGGTGAACGACCCAACTCATACGATCCTGGCGGGCGACTGGAACCTCACCCCACAGGTTCTGGAGGCCTCTGGAGTTCCACGCAAGTCGGGGATGTTGGTTTTGGCGCCGATTGAGCATACGTGTCGTACTCCGTCTACGAACACAATTATAGATTTCTTCGTCATGGGCCCTGGGTTGTCTAGATTGATTTCTGGAGTTGCAGCTGTCATGTCTTGGGACGTCAAGCCCCACAGACCTGTCCAGCTCAAGGTGCGCGCAGATGCTCTTTCCCTCAGGCAGCTAGTGTACCGTAGCTATCAGCGCCTACCTGTCGATGTGCCTTTTGGTCCGCGGCCTCAACCACCAGCGTGGCAAGGCGCTCTTGCTCATGCTGCACAGGCAGCGGCTTGGGCCATGCACGAGAAGGCCACGGCGGCCTGGAGGGTTTTGAATAATGCATGGGCGCAGTTTGTGGACGTCGCCGAGCTGGAGCTTACCCGAACGTTAGGTTTCGAGCCGAAGGAGTTGGGTGAGCGTTCGCGAACGATCAAATCATCTTGGGTTTCGGTTTTCTATCGCCCGAAGGATCCTGAGGATAAGCTCCAGATCGCTGCTGGCTGGAGGTGGCTGTACCAGTCTTTTCAAGAATTTACCCTGACGGTGCAAGATGCGACGAAGGACGCCGTCCAGTGTTGCATCCAGCTTCAGGTATCGCTCCAGGACTCCTGCCCTGGCGAAGGCCTGTCTGTGCGCCTGGACGCCTCCCTCCGTGCCATGCGCACTCTGGCGAGGAGCTGGCAACACCACAGCAGCTTCCATAGGCAGGAGTGGCTTGAGCTAGCGCAGCAGTTGTTAGAGGATGTTCGTGAGGATTATGAGCAAGCTGGGTTGGATGGGGATCGCATCCAGCGGGGGTCGTGGGATCTCTGGCAGGAACGGGCCCTTGCTGGCTCAGCTCGTATTATGCATCGTTTTACGAAGCTAAAAAAGGTTTGGCAGCCGACAGTTATCCAGAGTGCGCCTGGAGTGTTCACTGCAGATCCACATGCCCTTCTGGAGGATGAAGCTCAGACTCTGGGAAGATTTTGGGGAGCGGACTTGAAGCCACCCGAAGCCTGGATTCCTGATCGTCAATGTTTCCCTCGGGCCAGCGTTGATGAACTTCGGGAAGCGTCTCTGAGCTTCAGCCGCCACACTGCCCAGAGCTTAGATGGATTTCACCCTCGGCATGTTGGCGCCCTCTCCGACGAGGGTCTCACGTGCTTGGCCGTGCTCTACGAGGCCGTGGAGCGGCTGGGCCTTTTCCCCGCGCAGCTACTGTGGATGCTGCTGCCTTTACTGGAGAAGCCCAAAGGAGGTCTCAGGCCGATTCTGCTTCTGGGTTCTTTTGTTCGAGTTTGGGAGCGACTTCGGAGACCGCAGGCGGATTCTTTCCTGGATCGGGCCCAACGGCCTTACTGGTCTTTCGGTGCGGGGCAGTCTGCTGAGGTGTCGATATGGCAACAAAGTGTGAGAGCCGAGGAGACCTCCGAAAAGGGCGATTATACGGCAGGTTTCATTTGGGACGGTATGAAGTACTACGAGTCCTTTCGGCTCCTGTGGCTGAGGGATCGGGCCATGTACTGGCGCATACCCACGGTTCTCATAAAAGTCCTGTACAACCTCTGGAGGTCCCCGAGAGTACTCCGTCTGGGAGCTCATCACTGCCCGCTTATTCAGTTTGCGCAAAACGGTTTACCAGCAGGGGACATTTTCAACGATGTTTTCGTGAAGGTTTACGCGATGTTCGAGTTTGATCTCTGGTCTAGCCGAAATCCTGGGGTCAGTCTGGGATCGTACGTCGATGATGACACGGTTTCGGCCCATGGTCCTGAAAGTGTTATTATGCATGATTTGGTCAAGGCGGCGAAAGATTTGAAGTGGGTTTTTCAGACACGTTTAGGTGTTCGGCTAGCTGAAGACAAAGCGGTATCTTTTTCGTCGTCCAGCAGGATAGCTTCCAAGCTCTGCAGGCGACTTCAGCCAATATGCCCTTCTTCGGCCACGAACTCCACGGTGTCGCTGGGCGTGGACCTAGCACCTGGTCAGGGGTTATCGGCCAAGAAGGCTAGAGCTCGGCGGCGGCAACGGTTTCACGATATGCGAATTCGTAGCCGACTACTCCAGCACTATAAGAAGAAGCTCCCCAGGGACCGTACGCGGATTAACAAGATATATGTTGCAGGAGTACGGCCAGCAGCAGGTTTCGGCAGCATGGTCCTAGGAGTTTCTGATCATGAATTGGCCTCTTTACGTTCAGTGCTCATGTCAGGCAAGTCTCCTGCCCATCGGGGAGCAAGCTTGACAGCGAAGTGTGTGCTTCATGGAGACCCTGCGTGGCGTCAGGCGGTGGCCCCAGCGCTTCAGTGGTCGAACAGCCTCTGGCAGAGCCTCACGGAGCCCACGGTTTCCCACTTCTCGTTTCGGGATCATATTCGGATATGGCGTACAATATCGAGTTCCTCTCCTGAGTTAGGCCCTACTGTCTGGCGTAAGTCTAAAGGCCCAGTGCACAGAATGCTCCTCTCCCTCCATCGTATCGGGTGGCGTGCAGATAATTTTGCGCTGTGGAGAGATGACCGCGATCGCGTCGTTGATTTAATGTACACCTCCCCAGCTTTAGTGGCCAAGCAGCTTGAGGCTGGCGTGCAGAGAGCCCTTGAGCGCAAGATGGCCACCGATTTAGATGATTTCAACGAGGTCAGAGTTTGCCCAGACCCTGTCGCCAAGTTGTTTCGTTCACGTAAGACCACGGCCAGACAAAAATATTGGCTTTCGGCTGTGTTTTCAGGTGCCTGTTGGACGGGAGATCGGATGAGAGCGTGCGGGTATGACCACGGGGGGGGGCTGTCCTTTGTGTAGGGAACCCGACTCCCTGTTCCATCGGCAATGGCTCTGTCCGAGTGTGGCTGAACAGAGGCTCGAGTATGTTAGTCAGGAGCTGATTGATCAGGTGAAAGCTGCCGACCCCCAGGAGCTTTTGTTCTGGACGAGGCTCATTTTGCTTCAGCCTGTGGTCCCTGGCCCGTCCTGGAACCTCGACCCGATTTTTCAGGATTCCGAGGGCCAGGAAATCAGTTTTGAA